GAAGCTGTAGTAGACTCCGTGGTTTTTATAGTCGACGCGAAAGCCGAAGACCCCGAACCCGACGCAACCAGCACGGCCTGGGCCACTGCCGCCCCCGAAAAAGAGAGTGCGTCGGAGTTCAGCACAAACGGGTCCTTGCCATCCGTGCGCAAGTCGGGAGGGAGCTGCCATGGGGTGTGAGCAAAATCCAGAATGGAAACCGAACGGTGACCTGAGGGAAGCCTGCTAATCTGTGCTTCTTGCCCTGAAGCTCCAGAAGACGACCGCGAGGGAGGTCTATGACGGCATCGATAGCTTCCAAATAGCTGATCGGCAGTAGCGGCGGCGTCTGGAAGGAGTCGTCGTCGGCCAATATCGTGAACCTCAGAACCCCTAACATGCCCGCCAGGCAGGTCGGCACGTCGGCCTGGCCGATTGTTTTGGCCGTTCCACCGATGCCAGCACAGGGCACTGGCGAAGAAAACGTCTCCACCCATACAGGCTGGAGACCCAGGGTCGCCAACTCGGCTCGCATGGCCTCGAAAGCTCGATCGCCAACCACTGCATCTTCCGCCGCCGTGTCCACCAGAGCTTCGTGTCCTTTGACCTTGACGGTGGCATACAGCATGGGGAGTGCCGAGACGTAGGCATGGGTGATGGTCTGGTCCACGCCGCCTCGGCACACCACGAAGTTGACTTGCTTACCTGGCGACCCACCCTTCTGCGAAGACTTCCCTCCGCCCTTTAAAGGGCAGTCACGGGCATAGTGCCCCAACTCCTTACAGTTGAAGCACCGGGTCCTGCTCATGAGCTCATCGGCGTTGCCTTTGATCATCTTGTTGAATCTCGACGGACCCGGCCTTGAAGAAAAAGAACCCCGCGAGCCCTTCCGAGAGCCTTTGCCCTTGCCACGTGACTCTCCGCGCTGACGAGGATGTCGAACGAAACCCCTCTCCTTCTTTCTGTTCTGCAAGTCTCGTCGGACATCGCTGTAAGCACTGTGGTACGCGTGGATGTACAAGGCCTCGTGCTCGTCGTACTCGCGGTCCTCGAATGTCATCTCCTCTTCATCCGAGGCTAAATCTTCCTCTTCTTCTCCTTCCCAAAACTCATCTTCTTCATGAGCTTGCTCCTCCTCGGCTGTGTCTCCAGTGAGATAGTGCTTGCTTGCCGTTGCACCAAGCTCTGCAGTGGCCGCCTGCGCGATGAGCCGGGGACGGTCGAGGGGCCTCAGCATTGCGATCACTTGGTTCCAGGAAAACAACTGGTTGGCATCCTTCAGGGCCATCATTTCCCTCTGATAGTCCGTGAGGAGTGCCTGTCTCATAAGAATCCTGGCCGCTATCCTGTCGGGGATGCTCTCCTGCAAGTGAGTTTCCAGCTCCTGACGCGATACTTCCTTGCCGGCAATGTAAGCTGCAAACGTTTGGCCTTTTTGACGTTCTCCGGCATAAAAGAAGCGGTCAATGGAAGCTGGAGCTGCAACATCAAGGTATGGCTTATATTTGGTCATTAAAGCCGAAAGTATTAAGCCATAGCCCCTTGCAGAAAGAACATCCGAGTTCTATAAACCAAGTTGTGCATG